CTCTACTCCGACCTCAACGTCATCCGGGGCTCCGGAGGTGGGTGGCCTTGGGGACAACCCTGTGCGCTGGCAGCGTGGATTCGGGCCGTTGCAGGTGACAACGGTCCCATCCGGTGCCTCCCCTCCCGCAGGGTCCACGGTGACGTGCGGGAATGTCCTCTACCTGCTGCTCTTTGGCTGGTGGCTCTCGCTCCTCTACGTCCTCGTGGCTGCCATGATGTTCATCACTGTTGTGGGGGCTCCTTATGGTGAGTCCCAAATTTGGGACCCCCACGTGAAGGGCTGGGTGAGCCGTGGGTCTCCTGGCTGAGCCCGAAATGGCACCGATGGGTGTTGGGGTCTCCTGGGTCCCTTCTCTGCGGGGCGGCCCTGTAGCCGGAGGGGACATGTGTGTCCCCAACAGAGCTGATGCTCATGTCCCCGCAGGGTGGCTCTGCTGGGACCTGGCCGGGTATTTCCTCTGGCCCTTCGGCAAAGTGATCCAGAAAGTGGAGGTAACGGCGTGGCCAGAATCGGGACCCCACTCAGGGATAAACTGGGGTGACCCATGCTGCACCCTGACACCCGCTGTCTCCCCCAGGTCCCCAAATCCCGCCAGGTGCTGGGTGCGTGTGACACCGGCGTGGGGGAGAGCTCAGCCCTGCTCGGTGGCCCCGTGCCGCGCCGCTGGCGCCCACAGTGCTGGGTGGATGCCAGATACTGGGTGAGCCCCACGCCGGATATGGTGACACCCCTTTCCTGAGCATGGGCACCCTGGGAGCCCCCCACCATGGTGGGGATAGCACCCATGGGTGTCTCTGCTCCCCTGGGGTGGGTGTTTTGGGGGGGGCAAACCCTAAACGCAGCCGCCCGTTTGCAGCAGTGCGCCGGCACCGTGGTGTGGCTGTGTCTGGGCTACCCGGCGCTGGTGCTGGCCCACGGGCTAGTGTGTGTCACCGCGTGGCTCCTCGTTGTCCTCATCCCCGTGGCCAAGCTGAGCGCCCGCACCGTCGCCCGTGTCCTGCTGCTGCTGCCCCCGGAGCGGGTGGTTGTCCGGCGTCTGAGGATGGTGGGTGCCTCTGTGTGGGGGCGAGGGTCCTGCACCCTGCTGCCGGGTGGATTTTGGGGTGGGGGGCGGTGCTCAGAGCGGTGTCACCTACTTGTCCCTCCGCAGACGGAGGTGCCACTGGAGGGGGAGGTGATCCTGTGCTGCTACCGCGCCGTCAACCCCTACTACTACAAATATGCCGTGGATGGCATCAACGTCTTTGCAGTCAGTATCCTTTCATGGGCTGGAGGGCAAGGGGGTGGGGGGGCTGGCCCCAAATCCCACCCCACCTCGGTCATCTCCTTGACCGGCCACCCCAGACCTGCTGCCGTTGGTGCTGGTGACGCTGGTGCTGGGCTACGTGGACAGCCACAACCGCCTGACCAGCTCTCCCGTCAAGTTCACATTGGCTCTGCTCTCCATCATGCCTCTCTCCTACTACATCGGAATGGCCATTGCCAGGTGAGCGGTGACAGGGGGGACACTGGGTGGCAAGGTGGGGGACACATGCCAGCCCCACTGACACCCTCCTTCTCCTCCAGCATCTCTGCCCAGAGCAACTTTGCGGTAGGAGCGGTGGTGAATGCTACGTTCGGCTCCATCACGGAGCTCACCTTCTACATCACGGCCCTCATCAAGGGCTCGCGTGAGGGCAACCGCTGCTATGCTGAGATCGTCAAGTCGGCATTGACGGGGACGCTGGTGGGCTGTGTCCTCTTTGTCCCGGTGAGACGGGGTGGCACGCTCGTGGCACGAGAGCACCCGGTCTCTGTAGAGAGCCGGGAGGATGCTGTGAGCAAAGCGCTGATGGGGATTTTTTGGGGGGGCTTTGTCCATCCCCAAGGGTCTGTGCATGGTGATTGGGGGCGGCCGGCACCAGGAGCAGCGGTTCAACAACCGCTCAGCGGGGGGCCGCTCAGCCTCTTCCTCTTTGTCCCGGTGAGACGGGGTGGCACGCTCGTGGCACACCCGGTCTCGGTCTCTGTAGAGAGCCGGGAGGATGCTGTGAGCAAAGCGCTGATGGGGATTTTTTGGGGGGGCTTTGTCCATCCCCAAGGGTCTGTGCATGGTGATTGGGGGCATCCGGCACCAGGAGCAGCGGGTCAACAGCCGCTCGGGG